TAAAGTTCGGAGTGAATCTGGAAAAAAATGAGGATTGTCCTTTAATGAGTCGCAATTCACGACCCAGGAAGATCACATCAGGTACCAGCCCACCTAAGGCACAGGTCAATCAACTCATAGTCCATTCATAGGTATCTGCATCTTCATGGGACATGAAAGCAACAACAATTGTAAAATTGTCACCAACAGGGGTAATCCCAATTATTTCCACAAGTGGCATTTCATACCTACATAAATTATTTTTAAACCTCAAAACGTAATTATCAAATGTAATCAATGTACAACAACTAAATACAAAATCATTTCATACATATTCGTTTTGTAAGTTCAGTCCATCAGTATAACGTGAGGAAATAACCGCAAAAGTTTTAGTGAAATGGGAGCGGCAAACATCAAATCAGTAAGTGATATAAACCACGCCAACAATGTGACGAGACCCGATAACAATACTTTGGATATCAACTCCTGGACCGTCCAAAAGAAGTAATCAAAAGGGGGTCATCTATAAAGAGACAAGAACCTTGGTATGTGAAGACACCACAATCAATTGTGGAAGATTGATTGATAAGTTAGGGTGAACGCACGGAATCGTCCGATATGTTCGAAGAGTTCTTAAAGAACTAGAGAGAATAATCTCACAATTTAATTAATGATCAAAAGTTGTCTTTCAAAATGAATAAGAAGGCATGTATATAGCCCACAAAACTTAGTCTTCAAGAAAGGAAAATAAAACCCTAAATCTACTTAATAAAGGCTCTAAACAAGTGCACCACGAAAATAAAGAGGGCATTAATAGAATAGGCCCATAAACACACTAATATGAGCTGATTAAGATGAAACCCACTAATTTAAGGTAGGGTGGGCTTTGGTCTTCATCCTTCTTGCTCTTATTTGCTCAACTTGGACTGGTGTTTAGCCCAGATGGTTCCCACACTTGTCCGGTGACTCTGCCACTTGAATATGCACTTGTTCATCAGCATTGAATGAATAATTTTTAGTTAAGACGTTTTGGATCAATGCAGCAAGCTTCTCCTTGAATTTCTTAGCTCGACTCCTCGTTACTGGTCCGGTTCGGACTTGGATTGGATCATCTAATTGCTAACTGTTGGTTAGACCTCCATCATTCCCCTCCTCTTGAAAAGGATTTGTCATCAAATCATCACCTGCAAAAAAATGACTCAGATCAGCAATATTGAAGGTGGTACTAACATTATACTCAACTGGCAAGTCCAGCTTATATGCATTATCATTCACTCGCTCGAGAACTTGAAAATGACCATCTCCTCTGGGCAGCAACTAAGAACACCTTTGTGCTGGCTGAAAGTCGTTCTTTTCTCGTGTGCAGTCAAACCCAATCTCCAGGTTCAAAAACCATCTTGCGACGTCCCTTGATCGCTTTCTTTGCATATTGTTCCATTCTTCTCTCAATATTCAGCCTTGCTTTCTCATGAATCTGCTTCACAAGCTCAGCCTTTTTCTTTCCATTCAAGTTAACACGCTCAGATAAAGGTAGTGGTGTTAAATCCATTGGAGTTAAGGGATTAAAACCATAAACAATTTCATATGGTGAAAACTTAGTAGCAGAATGAACGGCTCTATTATATGCAAACTCAACATGTGGTAAACACTCTTCCCATGTTTCAATGTGTTAATAGCCCTCAACAAAGTAGACAAAGTCCTATTTACTACTTCAGTTTGACCATCTGTTTGTGGGTGACAAGTAGTAGAAAATAATAATTTTCTTCCTAGGTTACACCACAAGGTCTTCCAAAAGTAACTCAAGAATATGGCATCACGATCAGAAACAATTGTCCTAGGCATGTCATGCAATCCAACAACTTCTTTAAAGAATAAATCAGCAACATGAGACGCATCATCAGTTTTGTGGCATGGTATAAAATGCGCAATTTTAAAAAACCTATCAACGACAACAAAGATTGAATCCCTACCGTGT